TTCGCCTCTTCCTCCTCTCGAACTAGACTTCGAGAATTTCTTTTTCTTGTTGGACCCTGAAGGCCCATCAGACTTCCTCTTCTCACCAACCTCTGATCTCTCCAGACCCTTCTCCCTGATCTAAGTCTCAACATTCTTAGCAGCCCAGATGGCGGCTTTCAATGTGGTTGCTTGCTTAACCATTGGACCATAGTCCGCTGGTAGTCCGAGGGCAAACTTATTGACCTTCGAGAGTTCTGTTGGAACTAGGTATGGGATAAGCTTCATCTTTTCTGTGAAACTTGCAGCGTATTCAGTAACGCTCATTTTTCCCTTTTTCAAATTCTGAAACTCATTATTGATTCCCAGAAGGTCCTGCTCGGAGCAGTATTGCAGTTTCAATTGTTCCACAAAGTCTTCCCAAGACATTTTGCTCGCTTCTCCCTTGGGCATAGAGTCAGCTAACAGCTTCCACCAACTCAACACGCCAGATTTTAACAAAGGGATCGCAAGAGCGGTCTTCTGCCTGTTGCTGATTCGCAACTTTCAAACATTGTCTCCATTTCGGAGATCCAATCCATAATTTGCACCGGCGTCAGGCTTCCGGATAGACACGGTGGCTTAGATGCCATAAAATCCTTGTATTTACATCCTCTTCCATCATTTCCTCCATCGCGATTATCTTGTCTAACAATTGGTGGGTTGGCTTGACCAATGGTACCACTGAAGTTTCCACCTTCCGATGGCCCTCCATTCACTTCGGGCTCTTCAACTTGGATTGAAAGTTCTTCACGATTTTGTCGAAGCAGACGTCTAGTTTCTTCCATCTGACGATCCAACATCGTCTGAATCATCAATTGCACACCAGCCATTGTCACCGGCTCACGTGTTGCTTCTACAACAGGTATTTGCTCGATTACAGGTGGTTGATTCCTGTTTTCTTTCACGTTTCCAGCGCCACTTCTTGTTCTTGCCATCGTTGATCTATACACCGAACAAGGTGAATTTAGATCCTCCTTCACGATAGATAATTATCCAAATCACTCCGAAACGTTTATATGCTAGTTCTAATATCGTCGACGCACGCTTAGAATCCTAAACACATAAGGTTTCCAGATCAGGTCGGCAACAGACCATAGATCCGAACAAACAATATCATATATAGCAAACATATAGCATTTAGCACATAAAAGCATTTTAGGCATCTTTCCTAAAATAAACTAGTGCTCGTGTCTTAAATATAACAGACACTCATCTCTCAACCTTCACTTAGCATTCTAAGTTTAAGTCTAGAAATCCTACGAATTCCTAGTTCGCTTAAACTAATGCTCTGATACCAACTGTGACATCCCCAAAATCACGACCAGAAAAGATCGGTTTCATTTATGCTTTTAAATAAAATTAGAGTAATCCTTTGATTAAAAGAGTTGCGGAATTTGTTCCCAAAACGAAATATGATAAAAATTTATCAAAGCGTTTCATAAAGAAATGTATTTTCATTATATAACAAAATCTTGGGATGTCATGTTCCGATACAGACCAAAAGCATAAACAATACAAAATAGACCTTACAACAGTTATACATAACTACAGGTCTATAATCCAAAAATATCTTGACAATGTCATCCAACTTATGCCCTTGCGCCACTACCTGTAATACAAAGAAACTGGATGGGTCAGGCTTGGGAGCCTGGTGAGCATATAGGGTTTTCAACCCACAATAAATAATTATATTTAATTTCACCAACCAACAATAACCCGATTACCCATTCCCGTTATCCTCACTTTATGTCCCTAAAACAACAACTATTACAAGGGACCTAATCTAGGATTTTCATCGGGACGGACATTACTGCAAAGGGGCTTCCTTAGCAATAGATGTCCTAAAGGCAACCATGAGGGGGATGGAGTACACCGGTGAACACATCGTTCACAACACCTACAGGTTATGAGCCTGCTAGTGTTCCACTGGACTGTCTAGAATGAGTCCGTGGTCGTCATCCATACTCCGCTAGATGACTAGATCAACAACGACATCGAAGCCTCTCATCATTTTATTTCTTCACACACCAACTGTCTACCCATGTTCTACCCAACATATTAGTAGATAAAATATATACATTTATATTCAGCTTAAAACCTGTACAAAACATCCATTCAACAACTAGTTCAAATAAACAAATAATATGTAAACACATAGCACGTATTTTATAAAGAATACTTCATATCTATGTGTTAGAAGAAAACGAATATACACTCACTTGATAACACGATGATCGGACAGCACCTCGTCTCTTAAAAAACAATAATCTTCGATGAAACCGGGATGTTTTCTCCAAAACTGGGCTTTACGCGGGCAGAGTCTCGGCTCGGAAACTTTACTTCTCGGGATCTTCGGGCTTCAAAACTTGCCTCGGGTCTCGGGAATAATATCGGGCCTTCGGGGTATCTCTTGCATGCAAAACGAGGAAAATATGGGAGAGAAAGATAAGAAATGAGCAACAAATCTCGGAGACCTTGCATTCTATTTATAAGGGGAGGCTGACCCTCCGAACGCAGCGCGTTCCGCCGTGCGTCATTGCTTACGAACTTCGGACTTGACAGGCGACGAGACAGGCTCTGGGCTCCGTACGCGGGGGGTTCCCCCTTTGGGATGCGCGCCTTGAACTTCAGAAATTCATAACTTTCGCATACGATCTCCGTTTTCGACGTTCTTTATATCCACGCGAATGTGAGATTATGCTCTACAACTTTCGTTTAGACCCGTCGGCTAATTTTGACTTTATTTTTATTATCTTATTTTTAGTAGCCCGGGACAGGAAAACTCCGTTATAAAATCATAACTTCTTCATCCTACCTCCGTTTTCGTCTGTCTTTTCACCGTTGGACTACTATCGACAAGATCTTCGATTCTCGTTTAGATTGTTTCGGCTAAAAATCACTCGATCTCATATTCGAGTTTCGGGCTGCATACTGCTAAGTCAAAACTTCGAAAAATCATAACTTCCTCATACGAAGTAAGATTTAGACGTTCTTCTTATGCATGCTCTCGGTTTAACGTATTCTACGACTTCCGTTTAGATCACTAAGGCTAAATATCCCTCTATCGCAAATTCACTATTTACGTCACGCAACGTCGTGCCGGTTCCGTCGCGAAACTTCGACAGATCATAACTTCTTCGATATAACTCGAATTTCGACATTCTTTATATATTCGGAAACCTTGTCACGATCACTACATCTTCCTTCATAGATATCAGGCTTATCTAATATTTTATTTTATCGCTTATTTTTATCTTTGATTCAATTAAGCCACATAATTAAGCATAAAACACATAATACTCAAATAACACATTCTTATTATTTCAAAATGAGTTTACAAAGGTTAACCTAGACTATTACAACAACATTAATGCTTAGCCCAGAAACACGGGCGTTACAAGTAATAATAATTTAATGGTCTTAAAAGAGTTATGATTCAGGCAAACATAGTTAGATTGGTCATCTAGACTATATAAACTCAACAATAGGTAATAAAAATATAAAATTTAATACATAAGGATCAAACATAATAAACTAAACAACTAATAGTTCTGAAACTAATAATCAAACCGTAAAATAAGGGGTTCCCTTACATCCAAGGTTGTAAAAAAAGTTTGAGCTAGTCGGTGGAATGGGGTTAATGGATTAATCAGCTAGGCGGTGATTAATCGAGGACCCTAAATTGCTAATTTCTTGAAATTTAAAAAATTAAATATGACAAATATCATAACAAAGTTCGTAAATACCACTAATATCATAACAAAATGGGTTAATATGCTTAATACAACACTAATCATTTTGCAAATAGTTTCTATTGAAATAGAACTTCGTCAAAGTGTTAAAATTTTATCGTTTGCTACTGTTTCGCTCATTGTGTAAGAAAGGATTAATCGTTAGGCATATTCTAGACGGTCGGGTAGAGCCTAGAGACTAATGGGAGATTAATCGATACCTAGTTGGGATTTTTATAACACTGTTTACATCTAATCAAAAGTATATGGGATTAGCTCGTAACCACAGGAAAAAAATGAAGTTGCTAAACATCTTAATTAAGAAAAAGTAAAGTGATTGATGTTACTAATGATTTCACTCCCAGATCTTTAAAAACTAGCTTGAATGGTGATCTCCGGCTTCAAAATCACTCAAAAAGGGTTTCTTTCAATTAATCACTTTAACTGAAGTATGTTTTTCAAGTTATTATTACTGATTTCTTTCAATTAACCACTTTAACTGATGTTCTCAATTTGGCGGAGAGCTTAATATGCGGAGAGCTTAATATCATCAACTCTTGGAAGACACATTTTCAAATGGCATTTTCTCTTAAAACAATTCAAGAAGATTGTATATGAATCATGATGCATGCACGATGTTTGATGAAATGTCTAAGAAAAATCTGTTTTCTTAGACTTTGATTATCTGTAGCAAATAAAAACAGTGAAAAAGCTGACAAAAACAGAACCCAAACTGTGGACAGTGGAGGAGCTGGGCAACAGATTCTTGACTAATAATAGCAACTTATAATTTTCTACCACTAATAGTAGTATGCAAAAAAATAAAATACATTGCCCATATTGGAAATGAAATGTAAGTTCTCATCTTATATAACATTCTATGTACCCTGAACATAAATACTTGTACATTCTCATCTAACTTAATATGAAACTTGAATATTTATATCCTTTGAGTTTGTTGACACAAGCACAAATTTACACATTGTTACAGATATTAGAGGATATCCCCCTATTAGTATCTTCTATCTTAATATTCACAATTAATGCGTGAATATTAGTCATTACTTGAGAATCTGTGGAAATCTTTGAATTGATAATAATTTCCCATAAACAAGCAGATTTTAATATTACGATTATGTCAAATCTGTCACATGTGGTATTTAATTATTTATATAGCAATGCTCATTTCCAATTTCCAACTCCCACACAAAAATACCATATTTCTACCGATTCTTTGCTTGTTTGGCTATGACTAGGAAGAAAGTGAAGCTTGCTTTTATAACCAACGACTCAGCAAGGAAAGCAACATACAAGAAAAGGAAGAAGGGTTTGATGAAGAAGGTGAATGAGTTGAGTACCTTATGTGGAATCGATGCATGTGCCATCATATATAGCCCATATGAAGCTCAACCCAAGGTATGGCCCACAAATAGAGGCGTCCAACATGTGGTTTCTCAGTTTATGAGGATCCCTGAGATGGAGAGAAGCAAGAACATGCTGACACTTGAGAGCTTCATCAGGAAACAGGTGACAAAAACCAATGAGCAGCTCAAGAAGCAGATGAAGGAGAATTGGGAGAAGGAGATGACTGAGGTCATGTATCAATGTTTGACTGGAAAAGGTTCGATTACAAATTTGAGCCTCCCTGATTTGAATGATCTAGGTGGATTGGTGGATCAAACCCTAAAACACATTTCCAGAAGGATCGAGTCCCTTAAAAAACCCATTTCTGGTAAAGCTGTAGCAGCAGCTGATGTAACGATGCTTGCACTTGAGAAACGAGATATGACAGTGGATAATGTGAGTGGTTATATGGATGGGATGCAAAGGGGGACTCAAACTCAATGGTTTACAGATTGGATCAACAATCCATCTGAACATAATTTGGGCCTTGCTTCTGGATATTCCATCACTCAATTGGCTGATAACCCTAATCCTTTATGGCCAAATTCATATTTTCCATAAAACTTACAACTATATATGTTCCTGCTTTTCATTTGATCAAGAGAGTGTACAAGGTTCAATTTGGTCCGGATAGATTCAATGAAAAACTCAAACCTGGCTTTGTTCCTTTTGTAACAGTTACTCTGTTTATGTCCCCTGTTTTGTTTTGTTAGCTTAAATTTAATCAATCCTACAGTTCTAAAAATATAACACCAGGTAACCGAAAGAAATCAGTATTCATAACCTGGAGACCATATTATCTGCAATGTAAACAAATATACTTTTCACTAAAAAATAATCAACATTAACAGGTGAGAATTATAATAGAATAGTAACAACATTCCTTTATTCCATCCCTAGACATTCATTACTATGACAGACAGATTAATATTTATAATTAATGTGTGATTTCTTCTGATTTTGTGGAAATCATTAAACAAGATTTAGATAATATGATTTTATCAAATCTGACACCTGTTGTATCTATATATCAATACCCATTTCCAACTCACACAAACCTACCATATTTCTATCGATGGATGACACTGCAACTGTTGGTGCGTGTATGGGGCCCTTAGTTGTTTGTACATGGGTTGCAAGGAAGAAACTAACCATATTTCTTCAACCGAAGAATATTATATTAGACTAGTTCAATACATATCGATTGAAGGCAAACGGGCAACAAGCTGCGCCGCTAGCCCTTTCTGGATGGCAAACCCAATTCTTTTAAAAACAACATTTGCGGATCTAGGAGATATGACATTAGAATGCATGACCCGTTGGACTCTATTGAGGAGCTCCACCGCCTCTGGTGCGAGAAAACCAAATGTATCGAATGCAAAAGGAACAAACACATGTTGATTTTCTATACATGCACTCTCGTGTTTTACCACTTTGCACGCAGCGGCTTTCAAAGCGACATGCCCAGCTGTGAAACCCCCTCTCCCCAAACCAACGAGAGGAGAGACCCCAGTAAGATCCACGCACGCATGCTTCCCTCCTATCCATCCAAAGACCAAAATGTCAGCCGGTCTAAGTGTGGACCTTCCATCCTGCGGGTCCGTCAAAAAGTTCACTGGCGCTTCTTTCTTCACAGAAATACCAGCACGCCGACAAGCATCAAAGAGAACATCCCGAACCACATCATGTCTATACTTGAAACCAGGGAGCTCTCTACAATGAACCGCGTGTTCCCCAAAGCAAGGAATATACAATCCACAACCCAAATCAACAAACAATTATAGATATGACATCAGCAACTCTCCTATTCTCATATGCCTGCCTATATAAGAATTGAAAAGTGTGTTTATTTTTCCTATTTATATGTTTTTTAGATACTTAAACTTAAAAACTGAAGCTAGACGTAGTCGTCAGGCTCCATCTACCAACATAAGAGTTTAGCATATCTGTTAATATTTTTCAATCTATTGTTGCAAATCATCTTTCTTTTGGGCAAAAATGTGAAAAATAGCAACATAAATGGTCTGTGTTTCATAAAATTACATAAATGGTCAGTGTCTAATACCAAATTTGCAGAAATGGTCCCTGTTTTTCACAAAGTTACAAAAATAGTCTCTGCGAGTTTATAGAAATTGTCCCTTTGTTTCATAAAACTACAAAAATGGTCCCTATGTTTCACAAAATTACAGATGTAGTCCTTGCCTAATAGCAAAATTACAGGACCTATGTTCCACAAAATTATAGAAATGGTCACGACCTAATAGAAAAATAACATAAATGATTCCTATGTTTCACAAAAAGTACAAGATTGGTCCCTGCCTATTAGCAAATTTGCCGACATGAACCCCATGTTTCAAAGCAAAACTACAAAAAACGACCATATGTAACAGAGCATTACAAAAATGGTGTCTAAATATAAGACTAATAACCCCGTTGCAATTAGTTGATATTACAACTAAGGAAATGTAAAGATATTGCCATTATGAATAATAAAATAAAGTGCGTTGCTATTTGCTATAATTTACTTTTTTTTTTTTTCTGCTATGTGAATTCTATCTGTCCCTCTTCTATACGCTAACCCAACTAGAACCCACGTCTTTTCTTATGTCCTTATCAATCATCTCCTTCCTTACCTTCCAACTATCTTCCCACTTACCTTCTTCACAATAAATATTTGACAACATTACATACCCCTCTGCATTTTTCTCTGGAAACAACTCCAATAATTTCTTCACACCCATTTTCCCTAACTCTTTCTCACCATGTATCCTACACCCATTAACAAATGATCTCCATATACCCGGCCAAGATTGATAAGGCATCCCCTCAATCACCCTTTTGGCTTCTTCCAAATACCCATTTCTTGACAACAAATCAACAAAGCAACCATAGTTATCAGGGGAAGGATCCATTTTGTAATCCAACACAATCGTTCTGAATAACATACGCCCAACATCAACAAGACCTACATGACTACAAGCCGATAAAACCGACACAAATGTTGATTGACTTGGCTTTAGATTCATCGATTTCATCCTCTCATAAACTTCGATTGCTTCAGTTACAAGACCATGATTAGCATACGCCATTATCATTGTATTGAAAAGTGCCACGTCAGCAAATCTCCATGATTCATGAAACCCGATGGTTGCACTTGTTATATCGCCGCTTTTTCCGTATGCATCTATGAGTGCACTCGCGACATATTCGTCTTTATCGAGCCCGATTCTGAACACTTGACTGTGAATCGATTTTGTTAGGTTTAGAGACGCGATTGTAGCACACGCGTTTAAAACACTAACGAATATGAATTTATCGGGTTTTTTTGAGTCTTCTTTTAGACGATTGAAAACCTCAATGGCTTCCTTCGTGTAGCCTTGATCCACCAATGCTGAAATCAAACCTCCCCAAGTCACTATGTCCATTTTATCATCAAAAAACGCATACGAATCGGTTAGGAATCCAGATTTAGCATAACCATGGACTAACGAGCTACACACGTGTCCATTGAAAGCAAAACCGGATTTAATTATAATCCCGTGAACTTGTCTACCAGCTTCCACATTTTCAGCCTTGAAACATGCTTCGAGGGCACATGAGAAGGTATACTCATTTGGTTCAATGGTTGAACTTGAACCCCATAAGTTCATGAAAAGCTTAATGGCTTCAAGATCACAGCTCAAGTTATACCCATGGATCATCTCGTTCCAGTTCTGCAAGTCTTTAGAAGGCAAGGAATTGAAAATCAAACGTGCAGTTTCTTTGGCACCACATCTACAGAACATGCCAATAAGACAATTTGAGACATTTGGATCATCATGTAAACCAATACGGAATGCAAGACCAAAGAACTGTAGACCGAGGTTGACCATATGAGCATCCCCACACATTGGGAACAAGATTGAAAATGTTATACGATTAGGTTGTAAGCCCATGATCATAAGATCAGTGAACAAGGGTACAACTTGTTCTACAGAAGAAAGAGCTAAAATTGTGTTCCATGTTGCTATATCCTTGTCCTCCATTGTTTCAAAAAGCTTCCAAGCATGGTCCTTTGCACTGGTTTTATAATACATATCTATCAATGAGTTCATCAGTGTAACCGTTGCTTCAAAACCCTTTCGAACAATCTGTCCATGAATCTGGCTTCCAAAGTCCAGATTAGATGTAATTGAGCATGCATTAAGAGCATGTATGAAGGTGAATTCATCCATTGGGACTCCTTTCGAGTGCATGGAAGATACAAGATTGATAGCTTCGAAGCTATGTCCACATTGTGCATAGCCTCCAACCATGGTGTTCCAAGAACCAAGATCGGGATCATTCAGACTCTCAAACAATCGTTCAGCTGCTTCAATGGCTCCATATTTGGAGTACATGTGTAGAATTGAACTACCCACAAAAACATTATTTTCCAGTCCGATCTTGACAGAAATACAGTGGATGCACAGACAAAATTCTACAGCTCCCATACTAATACCTGATTTCATGATGCTACTTAAAGCAAACTCATTAGGCATGAAATACTCAGTTCGCATCATTTCAATAAACAACCCCATAGCCATCCCATACTCACCGATTTTATTTGCTCCGGATATAATCAGAGTCCAAGAAACCAGATTTCTCACAGGCATTTCATCAAATAGCTTGCATGCATCACTGAACATTCCACATTTCATGTACATTTTCACTAAATTGTTTTGAGAGTAAATGTCATTTGAAAAACCGTGCTTGATTTTACAACCATGAATCTCGGTTCTAAGAATATATGATCTTAAACTCCCCGCCAAACTGAGAGCATAAGTTACAGTGCTTACATTCTTTAAACAAAAGCGCGAGTTGTAGAGCCTTTGTGGGTTACAGGAAGCTTGGATTGCAGAGATGGAGACATGCCTCTTAAGGGATAACAATCCGCGCATTTAGCTCATACGAAGTTCAACCCGAGCTATTTGCTTCTACACAAATGCCAATGACGGCTCTTGGCAGGCTGAAAAGTTTTGTATTCAAGAAAACGCTGTAAATGCTCCGACTCGAGGGCAGTGAGAAAGATCAAACTTTTCTTGTAACCATGGAGGTGACATCTCTTTTAGCAACACCCTGTTTATTTAGGCGGAAATATTGTTTGGAACAAGTGCAGAGGATTCTTAAACCATGTTCAGTGATGCATATTTGAAAACCCAACCGGTAAAAATCAGTTGACGCTCGAATCCGAAAACCTAATTTTACAAAATTTCGTGTTTTGATATGAGCATTATATTAACGTAGCCGGATACAATTTCCAAGTATAATAATTTAATTGAATAATGGAAATAAGATGCTAGAATAAGCAAATCAATGAAAATAGGTTGCTCGCTCTCTCTTGCATTTAAACATGTAAGAGTAAGAAAATTATACTTTGAAAAATAAACCCAAATAAAACTAGATAATTTGTTTTAAATTTAGATAACCTTGCTATAATTATAATCATGTAAAATTCTCAAAATTTTAATTCTCAAAACTTTAATGTAGTACTAGAAAGAAAGGATAGTAGGATTCTTTCTATATATCTAAATGTAATTATATTTTAAATATATGTTTCAAACCAATGAAAGTGCATTATTCCTATTTCTTGCATCGAAACATCTAAGATTTCCATAAATGTAAAGACATTTAAATAGAAATATGTCAAAAGGTTTTTGGCCAATACAAAAAAGCAATCAACATGTTCTCAATTTGTTACACCAAAACAATTCATGGATTTTATGTAGGCGAGAAAAATTATGCACATTATTCGTGGCTTTTGGCATGGGAATGTGAAGAGGCACTTGTTACATGCAAGGGTGAAATTGAAATGTGTTTGAGCCCAAATATATTCTTTATAGGAAACATGATATTGTTGTTGAGCTTAGCTTGCAATGATTGAGGAGAAAGCTGATCTGGTCGTTCAACAACTTGGATTGTTCGGCTTGCTGCAAAGTTCACCTATACATACAGAAAACAGCAAAAAACTTATTGATAGGTAGAGAGGCATAAGTTGAAATTTACTGCATTTGGTGTGCACCGATAAAAGTATAACATAACGTATAAACAATCTGCTACCACACATTTATCATATCACTAATAAAATCTGATATCAAAAATCAATTGCTTTTCTTTTTCAAAAACAAAATAATTATACATATCATACATGAGCAACTTAACCATCAATGTATTTTGAAATCCAAGTATATTTATCATCAAATGAAATGATACTTTTGTTAGTGTGAAACGTTTAGCATAAGATGCTTACTGATACGATTAAAAAAAATATATTTATAAAAGAAATATAACAATTATGATGACAAACTATTTGTAATGTTGTATTTGGTTTATGGATAAACATTTAAATAATAATAACACCTTATTATGCTAAAATAGTGATGGTAATGAAAGAAAAACTTTGAATACAAATACAAATGATAATAAAGAACAATGGAAGGGTATTAGAGAAATATGGGAATTGTTTAGGGCTGAATGGGGTGGATGTTTTTTTTTTTGCTGTCTTAATAAAAAGGGTGAATGGATATGGAGGGGACCGAATCAATCATCAAGTTGCAAGGAAAAATGTAAATATGGTTGGTCATACTCATATCATTAAGTCAGTCCCACACAAACAAAATCCTTACTTTTGCCAGATTTTTCACAAATAAACAAAGCTTCATTGAATTGATTAATCATACTCAAAACAACAAAGGAAAACCCTAATAATGCTTTACCAGAGTCTACTTCTCTTTCTCTCCCAGCCAGACTTTTCACAAAAGATAATCTACTCTCTTTCCCACTACCCTCTTATAAAGTTATAATATTCTGTCATAAGTCATACTCGTAAGCCATAACAAACTACTGACTAGATAATGTAAAGAGTAAATTACACGGATCGTCCCTCGTCCAGGTGCCAAAAAGCACATTCAACCCCTATTTTCAAAAATTAACTCGGATCGTCCCTCGTTTGGTTAAAAGTTGCACATGTCATCCCTCGTTAGTTTAAATTTACACGTTTCATCCCCCTTACGAGACATGAAATGACTATTTTGCCCTTTTTATTTTATTTTTGATTTATTTTATTTTTCTTACAATTAATAATAATATACAAAATAAAATAAAAACCTCATCCCTCCCACCTTATCTAACCCCTTCCCTTCTAAACCCACTTTCCCCTAAAGCAAAATCATCACCACCACCGGACAACTTAGCACCACCATTGACCACCGCCGGACCACCACACACCACGGTTGACCACCGCCTCTTTTTTCTTTCAAAAACACCGCCGATAACCCCTTACCCCCCCGCCTTCTTCCCAAGGGTCCTTAAGCCACCACCGTCGACCACCAAGCCTTGTAGAAACACCAGTCGAAGCAAGAGAGTCGGAATCACCAACCATCACCACATGTTCGCAGATCTACACTCCAGTTGGTGTTAGATTTGATTTTTTCAAAAGAGGTGAGTAATGACAGACTCGATTTCTTCAAGGTTGAAACTCTGTCGAGTTTGATTCAACACAAAACCGTCTCATATTACTCTGGCGAAATGTACCTCCGATCTAGGGTTTCAAACGGAGAAAGAGGCGAAAAAAAAGTAGATTCATTCTTCCGTTTCTGTCAGGCGAGGGGTGAGGGAGAAGACGGTGATGGTTGTGTGCAGATGAAGGGGGTGGTGGTTTCGAACGCAGATGGAGGCGGCGATGGTTGCTACAATGATGGCAGAGAAAGAAAGAGAAGAGATGTGTGGTTGTGGTTTTCAGCAACTTCATGGTTGTCGGCGACTTCGTGAATGGTGTGCAGATCTTAGACGGTGGTGGACAGGCGGCGAACGGAGAAGCGGAGATGGAGCGGTGGATGGTGGTCTTCATCTGGAGACCTGGTTTCAATGATGTAGAAGGAAAGGGGGGAAACGAAGGGGAAGGGGGACCCGGAAGGGGTGGGTTGATTGGTAGGGTATTTTGTTTTTTTTTTCTTTTTTTTTTTAATCTAAAAAAAATGATAAATACATATTAAAAAATTAAAAAAGAAATTATTAAGGGTAAAAATGTCATTTTATGTCCACAGGGACGACCCGAGTGAAAAAATAATTATACAGGGACGGTCCGAGTTAATTTTTGAAAATAGAGACTCAACGTGCTTTTTGGCACCTGGACGAGGGACGATTGATGTAATTTACTCTAATGTAAAATGCATAAAAAGCCCTTCCACTCAAAGATGCTCCTTATTTGTTGAATTCCCCTTTTACCCCCCGGCCCCTTCAAGGATACTCTCGACTTACTGGATGTGTAGCACAAAGTATACTCATACTTTGAAATACAAACAAAATATAAAAACATGCAACTGGAAGTTCTATTACTCAAAATCTATGAGTCTTCCAACTTCAATTTCGTGTTTGTCAAAATAACATATATAGTTAAAACTTTCACGAACTTCAAAAACGTGGCTAAAAATTCATAAAAATTAAATTTAAAAAAAAAAGATTCATATACAAAACATTTTATTTGCCAGTCAATATTACACTAAATGCAAGAAATAGCAACGTATTTTCATTCATTTGTCTATTATAGCGTCCTACTTTCATCTCTTTCTACTACAGCATTCTACTTTCTGTTGCATTTCAAGTTTTTTTCTTATTAAGGCATTGTACTTTGATAAATATATCCAATTTATAGCTGTTTTCGTATGACATTATACTTTGAAAAATCTATCAAATTATGGCAGTTAAAATAGCTTTGCATCCGGATGTATTGCTATAATTGAATAGATTTTTTAAAGTAGATAGCTTTAATAGGAAGAAATGAAAGCACGATGATATATATATACTACTATATTGTTTTTCATGAATTTACCAACAGTTAGTGCAATGAGATAAAGAGAAAGGACATTGATGAATGCATTGAGTTTTATACCTTGATACAACACAAATGAATCATATATATTTTGCATTTCAAAGATCAAATAGGGACCTTCATAAATGAAAAGATTGTTTACTTATGTAGATTCATCCATTGCTTATAGATCATCAGATTGAATAGGTTTTACATCTATTTATTTAAATCGAAAGCATACACATCCAAATATTTGAATGCAAATGAAGCTAATAATATATACTAGATAACCCAATTACGAACCTTTGCCATAAAAATCCATACAAGTTATACACAATATCACATGTAATTCATTTGGTTTTGGATAAAATGACTAGAAAAAAAATAATTAGGAAGATCAAACTAGAAGTTAATTTGAATTCGATAAAACAAAAGCAAGGAATATACATGCACTAAGCATATATAAGGAAAGACAATCATACCGATTCAGAAACCATTGTAAGCAAAGCCTTCCCAAGAGGCACAATGCAAAACCTTCAGACAGGAAAAGAAAATTTAACATCAGCATATTATCATGCCATACTTCCATTTTATAAGCAACAAAAGATGATTTTCTTGACAATCCCTATATGTAAATGAATCAAAGAACTCAAACTCGCTTATGAATGCCAAATTTAGTACCCTAAAATACAAATTTACACCAACTCCGTTACTTGGTACTTGGTATGCACCAATTTTCTTTTAGTTTTAGTAATTCTATAGATAGATGTCATATAAGTAATCCATTTCTTCTCCAAAAACAAATAATTCTAATTGATTCTAAATTCCACATGTAACCTGTCTGGCTTCTGCAAATCGAACCCTGTGATCGTGGTTAGGAAGCAAGGTAATCCAACTGGTACGAATTTCCACTTTTAAGCAACCCAATACTACGTTGTTGAGAGCTCACTATACATCGAAACCTAGTTATCAAACCCCTGAACGTTCTAGAAAAACCTAATCAATTATCAAGCGTAAAGGCAGTTTGTTCGAATTTTTTTTGTCAAAATGTAGGCTACGTTTTATAAACGTCAGCGTAAACAATTACTCAATTAGTAAGAAACGAATTGCATAACAAGAACGAGAAAAAGGAAATTACATTCCGCGGCCATACGCTAGTGCAACTTCCGAAGGTTCTCTCCATTCATCATATCTGCAATAAAATAAGTAAATTATAGCTATTTGCATTGGTATAAATGAAGAATCGAAAAAGTAAATATATGACAGAGAGACAAATAATTACACATAGCCGTAGCGTTTGTCAAACAAAAACCGTTTTGATGAAAGTTTGGAGCTTGAAATAGATATCTTAGAACTCGACTGAACTTCCATGGATATCTATATTTCCTTTACAACATGAATTTGGATATGAAATTAGAGGGACGACCCTAGCTTACGCAGTTTCTGACTTGGTGTTTTTGGGGGGTGTTTGATATCGGGTAAAAAGAGCGTTTGTCAAACAAAAACCGTTTTGTATTTTTGGTGCGAGTCGGTCGGGTCACAATCACACAATGGACCTTGGAACACATTTTCAAAAAGTTTACAAATAATAAATTAAATTAAACATTAAAAGTTAATTAAAATATCAAATTTATTAAACTAAAAAGTTTCAAGTTGTTAGAAGGTTTAATTAATGATTAAATTAATATTTTAGTGTTTATGGACTAAAAGTGTAATTTAGCCCAAACTAGTTTTGTCTTTCTTTGACAAAATATTTTAGAATTGACGTTTAGTTACCAATTTAAGAGTTTGATCAAGTGACTAAGTCAAATAGTGTCTAAGTTGAGAAAATAGGTAGTTGAGGGACCTAAGTTGCCAACTAGATGAAACTTCAAACATATCATACCACCCATATTTGAGAAAACGGTCTTGAAGAAGGAGGAAGAGGAGAGCATGGTGATTTTATTTTATGGAAGCTCTAAGGGTTTGATTCAAAGAAAAAAAAAAGCTTGAGAGTAAAACATAGAGCTTGGAAATGTACAACTCCACCTTGTATCTCTAAGATTTCGAATTATGGTTTAGGTTTACAACCAAATCCGAATCTCTAAGGATAATATAAGTTTTTTTTTATGAGATTAAAGACTAAAATCATGCATTAGATCATCAAGGACTCGTCATTCCACCCTTGGAATGATTGATTCCACAATTATAGTGGATTTGGGGAAAACTAGAACCCTAACTTGGTGGGATGATAATTTATGGTTGTAGATCTAAATTTCAATTGTACTAACGTATATGAGTAGTTATAGATCCAAATTCGTGATTTTAGGTTAATTAAGTAAGTCAGATGTCTATATTTTGATCATTGGTATGTTCTAATGTTTACATGGCGTTTGTAATATTGACATGGTGTTTGTGATATTTTACATGGAATTTGTGAGTTCAATTGTTGATCCCAAAGGTAATTCTCCTTTGAAATGGAATGAAATAACTTCAATATCAAATTTCTATCACAGAACCCTTTTGAAATTTACAAATGAAAGCAGTGTTTTCAAATCTAGATGTACTTGGGAGTTTTAAAAATGTTAATGGATCATTCGAACTCATAATGAAATATGTGAAGTTAAATCTCACAAATCCATTTTTGAACTTGGAAATCATAGATTGAATGTTAGAAATAGAGACATTTTAATGTTTAAATCATGTTTAGAAATGTCTTACATGATTACTTAGTTATTTGGAACCAATATAGTTGAATCTAAGAAGTCATTGTAGACTTACAACTTGAAATGAAAGGTTGATGTCTTCATAGTAATATATCAAACTTGTGAAGCGTTAAGACCTTTGGTCGTTAATTCATAGATACAAATACTATGTAATTGAGTATCAAAATAAGTTCTTAAGACTTATTACATCTATTTTTATCATTTAGAAGGATTTTGAAAGGTTTGGAAGCATATGTGCTAAAGTATAATACCTAAATGAGTGATAAACTGATAATGGTGAAATACTGAAATGGGTATTGTTGGGCTGTACACGCCCCATGTACCTTACAAGGAAAGTTTTACACTGCCCATGTATTATCTTGTTATGAAATCATAACAACTTTTATCACTCTTGCTTGGCTAATTCATTTGACCCCAAATCAATTTCGTTGTTCTTCTAATGACCTAACTAGCTTATTTAGGATAAGAGATAGGTTATTATGGTGAGTTTATCAATATCTTAACTTAGCATTTTAGTGAGGTATAATAAGTTGGTGATGAAACACTATTTGCATCAAATATCACACCCTTTCCGTAAGCCAATTAAGATACATTTTTTTGTTTGAGAATCGAAATCAAAATACCTAGTTAAACCCAAAACCTTTGTCGGTGTTTTCTTATAATCGTCATCTGTATTGATAAAGTCACAAATTATGAAGATAACGAATTCGTATATTAAAATAACCCCTTATATATCTAAAAAATTCCTTATTTATTATTTATTTATTTATTATTTTTTTTTTTTTTGGAAAAAAGCATTGTATAATAACTTAAACTGAATGAATAAACAATGTACTTAAACGATGCACTACATGATATTGACACAAATGCATAATTCCCTAGTCATATATGTTTATATATCTTTATGTCCCTTTTCTGTTGAAGGGCTCCCATGATATATCCCCAAAGGAAGATGGTTTGATAGAGAACATGTTATCATACTTGGCACAACGCATACTTAGATACTCAGATGCTCAAACTCTCAAAAGCAGGGTAGAAATGAGCACCACATGAAGGGTTTGAAAGGTCTAGTGTGTCGTTAATGCCTTCTTAAATGACAACACAAATTCTATCTCAAATAGATACACAGGTCTCTATAAGTGTCCTGATCACACTAGTCTCTTCACCCATATTTGAGCATGAACGAATGCAACATGTCATGATGATTTATGTAACCTAGAGAAGTCTTTAAAAATCATAAATTTTTTTACAGAGAGACCCCTTCTCGAAACTCTTTTACTTATAAGATGTACAACAAAGTAAATGTATAAGAAAGTAATATTTAGTATATATACTCACAAGGCACATAATATGAAAATATGTCATACGTACGGCTATATGTGCTCAAAATACTATGTACTCACTTTAATAGTTTCGTGAATGAACTCCCTTAACTCCCTAGTGGGTTCCTCGATCACATATAAGTCATAACAATCAAGTATAATAAGACTTATGTTTCCTCAGTACAAGTTGGAAAGCCTTTGGTATGATACCCTGTTGTCTAGACCCATTTCTCAAAACTCATCACGTCTAATCTCTACAATCACTCTCATGTATAGGCTAGCAGAAGAAGTATAAAATCACTCTCATCATATCATTTTATCCTTCATTCATACATGCACACACTCAAATGCGTACATGCATACAGGTACCCACCCACTCTTAACACATGATCAGACTTTAGGAGTCATTTCTTAGGCAGCCGAACAAAAACTCTTTTGGACAACACACACACACACACACACATGAATTTAAGGCTAAGACACTGTATACACATTTACCACATAAAAACACTAGCCATCATATGTTTCTACATATGCTCAGCTCAAAGTAATTACACATAAAGCAGTAGAGAACATTTATTAAGATGATAGAAGTAAGTAAACATGCATTTCAGATTCGAATTAAATTACAAATATCCATTGGTTGTGTTTGGTGAGTAAGCAAGTCAAGTAGAGATGTATTTACAAGAAAAACAAGTTATTCAAGTTGTTGCTCCATTGCAATAATGAACACCATTTCCATTTTCATTTCCAGATACTAATTTCCCTTTACCTTTCTGTTTCACATGTAACTGTTTCAACCCCCATATACGTATTGACCGATCATCACTTGCTGATGCCAACATATGTGGATTTGCAGGATTCCAACTGATACAGTTAACTGCCCCTGAATGCCCTTCCAATGTCTCAATCAACTCCCCTGATCCCCTGTGCCATATATAAACCTACATCCATTTTTTTTTTTTAAAAAAAAATCATACATTACTTCATTTCTCAACATCTTTATAAATCAATCTATAAGTTTATATATACGTATATACATACCTGAGAATCTTCACTCCCGCTAGCAATGAATGACTGATCGAGTCCACCAAAGCAAGCCCTAACAATAAACCGAGAACGTCTATGCCCCTTATACTTTGCAACAAGACGAATATGCCCCTGGATGTTCCAAAGATGTAACTCTTCATTCACGAGACTAACAAGAAGATATTTATTGTCTTTTGATAATGTGAATGAAACTATCATCTGATCCTCTTCAATGCATCTTTCACTTCTTGACTCTCTATCAATTAAAAGAATCATGGTTTCCTTGCAAATTGTAACAATCAGCTTTCCATCACTTGTTAATTGTAAATCAGAGATTCTAATGGTTTTTTGGCCTTTTAAAGATTCTATCTCTTTTCCATCCAAACCCCACATTATTATGCTTTTATCAGTTAACCCTGAGAACACACACTTCCCATCTGGAGACCAATTACAGGAGATTAAACCAATGAGGCCCTTTTCATAAACCTGAAGGCATTCACCAGATGAAACATCCCAACGCCTCACAACTTCTTCTAAACCACATGTCAGGATTTGATCATCATTTGGGCTCCATGAAACGCAAGAGACAGACTTTTGGTGACCGATTAATCTATGTTTTAGTGAGAGTTTTCCATCCAGATCAACCTTAAAGAAATCAAAAGATTGAAGTTGATATAAGGGTGAAAGTTGAAACTGTGAAAATGATTGAAAGTTGATAGAAGAGGGAGCAGTGTTACCTCCCAAATAATTGCTGAATTATCGCTTGATGAGGATGCTAAATATTTCCCATTTTGAGAAAACTGTAAGTACCAGACTTCATCGTTGTGATCTTGTAAAATCTATAACACCATAACTGAAACAAATCAATGCTCATAACTTGAAAACTAATCACAAACTGAAGAAACAAGATAAATAGAAGCCCTGACCTGAACTGTTTGTGAAGGAATCTGATCTCTTCCACAATGATGATCAGTGAACAATGATGTTTCTCCAACTGAAGAATTATGAAACAAACAAGCTTCCCGTTGTAAATCAAGAGCTTGTTCTACTAGCTGTAACAACCTTTTATCAGGTATCATCACTGTTGGAGGAAACAATTTTTGCAAATCTTCAAGTAGTTGTGACCTAGGCTTCAGTTTGACCATTCCTTGACCAGAAACTCCATCAATGATCCTATAAGTAGGTGACAAAATGAATGAAGAAAGCTCACGGACTCTATTACTGTTAATTTCAAGAGGTGATATCTCAGTTCTCAGTGTTTTCAAAGCTTCCATCAACTTTCCATGATCCAAAAGTTCAAAGAATTTCTGTTGTAATATCATAAAGGATGCTGACTTAATTATAGATTCCTCCACTATACCAATTTTGTGTAAAGAAGACAAACTTCCATCCCAATTTCCATCAAGAATCTGTTGGATGAAGACAGTGACAGTAGATGAGTGAAAAGGTATTCCAGACTCCTCTTCAAGACATGCCCCGGTTTTACTGTACCCAAGAGAATATAATGCCTCAGCTATAATTCTAACAAATTCCACTTTTTTAACTCCTTTTGTACCAATTACTTCATCATCCCCTTGGGAAGTTAGGGCTAGGGGGCGAGCCATTGAAGCAGCAAATGAGTGATTTGCAGGTTTTTCTACAAACTTTCCGTTTGAAAGACCTCTTTGTTCTTTAGAAGAAGCTTTCACACGTTTTGAGGGTGGTTCATCATCCTCTATACCTCCCATGAAATGATCATTCAGCCCATATATAATCACAAGAGGATATCAAAGGATGATGGACAGAGATTTGTCAAGTACCTCTAGTGAATCACAAATAACCCCCTGAATAAAGAAAGTTAGAATAATTCAAAGAATGATGTACTTTGAACTCTGACATTAGAATATAATCATCATTTCAAGTAAATCATAAGGTATATATGGAAGGATACCTGCGTATTGCAATTTTAGATCATCAATACAACTCTCATAAATCATAAGCGGATTCTGCCTATCCAAGTGATGCAATGTTGGGTTTATTGGAGCCCTCAGGAACCAGTTTGAGAAGCTGAAAGAGTATGAACAGGCTATTTAGATAGATTGAAAGTTGATTAGATAGAACTGATACTCAAAGTTCCATATAAGTTCCAAGTTCAAGATAAGAACAATAATCCAATTCTTGGTTGATCGAAAAGCCCACACATGGACATACTACGCTTAATATCTTGTTTATATGAAATTATATCCGAACTTACTGTAATTCAACTTGATGTGTCACTCCAACCCAATAAAAACGACAAACTTTCATCGGAAAAGAAATATATATAAATCAATCAAAAGATTCTACGCGAAGTCTAACACCCAGGGAAATAGATGGCGGATCTAGGGTTACAATCATAAGTTAGGTGCATTAGAAAAGACAGAGAAGGAGAGATAAAGAAAAAAGCGGGAGAGAGAGAGAGGGAAACAGATACCGAAAGAAAGAGAGAGAGTAAAGAGGGATAAGGAGGACCGATACCTGACGGTGGAAGAAGAAAACCCTTGTGTTCGCTGGCTGTTGTGGACTGTCAAAGATGGTGAAGAATACCACTGAAATGATTTGATCTTGGAAGGTATTGAGGGGTGGGGTGAACTTTTTGGTAATTAGCCAAGGGAGGGTGGGGCATTTTGGGGAGGATAAACAAAGACCAATATTATTATTATTATTATTATTATTATTATTATTAGACAAAATTGCAAAAATGGTCCGTATGCATTTCTTTGGGGTTTAGTTCAAACCTCGACTTTTTTGGATTAGTGGTCTTTTTGAGCTAGTTTACATGCAGTTTTGGTCTCTGTTCAAACTAAAAAGACTATTATACCCTTAATGAATTTAGTTTTCATATTTCTTTCATTTTTTAAAATTATTATTATTATTAAATATAAAATCGGGCCCATCTATCTATCTATCTCTCTCTCTCTCTCTCTCTCTCTCTCTCTCTCTCTCTCTCTCTTCCACTTTACAATGGAGGTATCCTAAAAAAAGTTACAACAATGGAAGCTGCAACAGTCATGTTACCAAATCTCACTCATTCAAATCCCCCAAATCCCCTAAATCGCTCCCTAGATATCACACCCAAATCTTCCATTTATGGTTCTTAATGAAATCTCCAATTCATAGCATCCGAGTCTCAACTTTTTTTTCTCATCGTCTTCCCCATACACACCCACAAATAAAGAAAACCCAAAACCGGAAACTCCAGATTTGCTCATCGTGTTCTTGAATAGAATCTATATATCCTAAATAGTTGTTTCAATCCCAAATAGTTGTTTCTACAACAGTTTTTGGGTATATGTCCTCAAAAGGAATTTCAGCAAATGAGTTGGTATAGAAAGAATCAAAGAGATCATCTAAACGTTTCCTATGTTCTTCAAGAAGGGATGAAGTTGCAATGGAGGTTGATAATGGTGGCACTTGTTGGTACTTTTTTTGATGACCCATGTTCATCATCGTTTTTCACCCTGTCGTTTCTCCCCATCGTTTTCCATTTACCTTAGCAAAAAAAGAAGCACTTGCTGGTATTTTCTTGATGACACTTGTTCATCATCTATGTTATTCGGGGATTTTTTTCATCTAGATTCAACAATGGAAAAACCCCCTGTTCGTATTTAGGGTTCTAAGTTCTAACCATTCCAAATTGCATCGATGTGGGTTTGGGTTTGCCTCTCCTTCGTTTAACGGTTCAATGGAAGAATAGATTGAAGACCCAGATCGGAGTGAAATGGGGCGACTGAGAATGAAGATGAGTGAAATGGGTGATTGAGATACGTAGCAGAAGGAATGAAGGCTAGTGTGTGTTTATGTATGTTTGTTTGTCTGGAGAAAGAGAGGTGGGTCCCATAATTTTTATTAATAAAACTTTATATTAAATAGAAAAAAAACATAGAAAATGTATCATAAGGAGTTTTTTGTCTTTTTAATTTTACGAGGGACCAAAACCACAAACAAAGTAGCTCACAAGGACCGCCAATCCAAAAAAATCGAGGTTTTGACCAAAACCCCAAAAAAATGCATACCTCAGGGACCATTTTTGCAATTTTGTCTTATTATTATTATTATTATTATTATTATTATAAAAGGGACAAAAATAGCTATATTTCTTTTAACACAAATTTAGAAAAAAAAAATGTACAGTTTTAGAGAAATAACCATCAATTTTGTATGAATACTATGAAATGCTCAGCACGATGTCGTTTTAGGCATGCATCATTTCACATTTCGAAAGATATCTTTCGTGTGGAATCCCTTCCCTCCAACAAAATCTGACTTTCATATGGTGAAATATGACATTTGTACTGTGAAATCTGAGATATATACTGTGAAAGTTTGACTTTCATACAACGAAATGGGCACACTTACAAAACTTTTATGTAATTTTTTTTAAAAAAAAATGTTCCTATTTATGGTTAGATTTCAGAAATTTACAAGTTAAATTTTCCTCTCACAACAATGATTTATCGAACGAGGTTTTCGTTATTGTTTGTTGTAACGTCCCAAAAATAAGATCCAAAAATTTCATTTTTGATTTAATAAAAACATTAACCCAAACATTGTCATACAACCCCAAAAGATCAAAGTATGTCAATACATCAAAACATATCAGAGTAAATCTCAAAATGTGGAAAAAGGTGGTGTGTGCTCTGCAATCATCCCGAGCTCTTCCCTTTCGATCCGGAAGTACCTGAAACATAAACTGAAAACCGTAAGCTCAAAGCTTAGTGAGTTCCCCAAAATACCACATACCATACATACATAAATAAACACAACATGGGCCCCGCCCGGCATCGAGCCCCGCTCGGTATACAGATCTGTCAGTCATCAGGCCATGCTTGGCATCGGGCCCCGCCCGGTATACATATAACATATAATCATATAAACATAACAACCTCAATAGTCGTGGCCTATACTAACATTCTCTTCGGATGCGATTTCTATCACATAAGTTTCTTATAACAACACTAAAGGCTTACTAAATTTCTTTCGAAATTCATGAGACACAAACGAGTAACCGGCACCCAAATCAAATAAAACACTTGCAGACAAGAAGTTTACAACTATTGTACCTGACACCACTCCATGTGCTTCCTTCGCCTCCTCGGTTGCCAACTGAAAAAAAACGAGCTTTAACCTTCCTTGGCTCAACCTTATTACATGCACTCAAGACTACTGCCTCGTTCTTTCTCTTCAGGCAAGTTGTGTTGATGTGGCCTTTTTCATGGTAGGAGTAACACTCCATATCTCGATCCTCCTTCTTGCATTCAAGAGACTTGTAGTTGGGATCTCTACACTTGTAGCACACCTTGCTACCCAACTTACACTCACCTAATGCAACTTTCCACACTTCTTTTAGGTAGGAGTCTCCCCCTTCTTTGAACTCCCACTAGACATTCGACTTTTCTTCTTGAAACCACCTTGTTCCACTTGGTACCTCTTCTCCCCTACCCTCTGCTTCTCTATTGTCTTCCTAAAAAACATATCCACCACATTCTGAGCATCCATAAATGCATCATCCAATGTATCACCCTTCTTCACCTCCACCTCATAGTTGGCAGGTAAACCCTTCACAAAATGACTAATACGACCCCTATTTGTTGGGAGAATGTCCCAAATGAACAACATCCTACGAAATAATTCTTTTACATATTGCTCCATGGTCAGCTCTCATTTCTTTAAATCAAAGAACTCATCCACTAACTTTTCAATGTTGCAAGGAGCACAATAGTTCGCCTTAATCCATTTAACAAACTTATCCCAATACATATTCGTTTCAGCATCATCTCCCAAGGTTTGGCATACTCTCTCCCACCAAATAAGGGCTTGAACCCTAAGTATACTGGATGGAGTGCAAAAGAAGAGTACCCTTGAGTTTAGGATAGGTCTATAACAAATCGTTCACCAATGATAGATGGCGCACCCCCAATATATGGTGATCCCACAATAGACGGTGCACCAACAACAGACGGTGCAACATATTCGATCACTGGAGGTAGTTGTATGACGGGTGCACCCAGACGAGCATCCAACAACTAATTCATCTCTTAGCGGTTCTCTTCTATCAAACCTCAATATAACTTCCATGGTAACTGGCCGGGGATTCCCTCTTGGCACGGAAGTCCCTTCGTCCTCTTGCAGATCTACATCTCTTCTACCACGAACCATTCTGAAACCATAAACCACTAGCATGGAGATATTAATTCATACAATCTAACAATTTAAAAATTCATAAAAGTACACACGGTAAAGATCCTACAACACTTTGGTTCTTTCTTTATCTCACATAGTTTAAGCCTAGGTAGGGACATTCCAACCTAATTCGCTTAAACTATAGCTCTGATGCCAATTGTAACAAACCCATATTTTTCATAATGTATGTATGTATGTATGTATGTATGTATGTATGTATGTACGTACGTACGTATGCGATGCTTATTTTGAACCATCATAATGATTTATGATTAAGCACCAATAACTGTCACAAATAACCGCCTGACTGTGACTCTATGACTCTAGTTTTCACTTAACATTAGGCTTAGCTTACTTTCTTACTTTCAACGGTCACTTAATCGTAAAAAATAGTGTGATGACTTTTCATCAATCATTAAGATGTCAGGATATCGTCGCTAAATTTTGAAGGTAAAAAAGCATTTTGTCTAGTAGTGAATTGTGCAATGTTTTTAGTGATATGCCACACTTTGCTTCATTGTATCTTAAGAATTTCCATTCACTTCAATTGTAACACCCAATTTTTCAAAACAATTTTTCATTTCAAAACATACTTTCCACCACATAAAAATCACAAAATCATAATAAATCTCTGTATCATCACAAAACATGTCCCAAGATCTCATATAAATAAATCATCTCTCGTGTGTACGAATCATGCCGGCGCCTTCCCGCGATCCTCACTAGTACCTGAAA